TGAGAACTGCCAACCTGAACACATGACTATTGCACCGACAAAGTATAAGTATCCCTCCTAACTGGTCGTGAACCCTGAGAAGACATGGCAGGCTATGGTGGTGGTGGCGGTCTAAAACCTGACTGAACTGTAGTCGACTATGACGGCCTCTGCCGTGACCCTCTGCCTCTACCGGTGCCTGCTCCCTGACTAGGACAATCTCGAATCAAGTGACTCTGCTGGCCACAACCATTACAAGCCCTTGGAGCTGAAGAAACTGAAGACAATCTCATAGGGCAACTAGACTTGTAATGCCCTGGTTGTTGGCACTGAAAACAAATGATTCCACTCTTGTCAGACCCAGCTGGCATAGGAGTGGTAGGGGCAGATCGTGTAGACTGCTGCCCCTGAAACTGTGATGAACCTCTTCTATTCCACTTCCAAGAAGATCCTTTTGAAGAGGGTCATGCACTTCTCTTTTGCTTCCATTGTTCCCTTCTTGCATCCTTGTCTTTAATATCAGCTTCCAGCATCAAAGCCCTTTCCACTGCTTCAGAATAAATCTTGATGAATTGTGCCGTGATCAACGGCCTCATTTGATCATTAAGATCGGAAACAAACTTCCGAGTCTTGTCAACTTCATCTCTCACCATTTCCGAAGCAAAGCGAGAAAGTGAAGTGAACTTGTTCTCATATTCCGCCACTGACATATTGCCCTGGATAAGGCCAAGAAACTGATCTTTTAGCTCCCACCTCTTAGAAATCAAAAAATACTTCTCATAGAACAATTCTTTAAACTTTTCCCAACTCATCTCCTCCACCTTATACCGACTCGTAACCAACTTCCACCAAAGCTTGGCATCCTTAACAAACTTGTAAGTAGTTAGGATGATCTTCAAATAATCCTCTGTCACATTCATTGAGATCAATTATGTTTCAACTTGATCCATGTAGTCGTCTGCTACCATTGGATCCGCACCGCCCTTAAACATAACTGGCATCAACTGTGAAAACCCTTTTATGATCTTGAGACATTTTTGAGTTGGTGTCTCCTCTGCATGGACTACATGTTATGGTGTCGGCTGTGGATTAGCAGTAATCGTTGCCCTCAAAGCACTTTGCAACAAATGATTCAATATCAGTTCCGCAGAACCTTCACCCACTTCTACGAGGGCTTCTACATTATCCCTCCTTGTGGGAACACCTCTCGGGGGAATCAAATCCCTAAGAAGCGTATCCTCATCATTTAGCCCCACCGGATTGGAGCTAGAGCTCTCGCCAATATCACCCCTTGTTGGCCTAGGGCCAACTTCCCTTGATTCCTTACACCGTGACATCGTGCTACGAAACGAGAGAACAGTTCAAAAACATGATACTAAGGTCCACCGTGGATGACTCAACATGAAAAAATTCCGAAACAACACTTTGCATGTAAAACCATGCAAGGAACACTTTAACATAAACATTTAAGCACGTAAGCACATAGACAGTTAAGCATGTTTGTTCAAGTAATAAAACATGTAGCAAGTAATCACGTAAATAATACAATCAACATCCCATGCAACCCTATGTGGGCCTCTACCCGTCGTCCTAGAGGTATTCAAACCTAAGACTCTGATACCAAATCTGTAACGACCCGAACCCGGAGGTCCGAACAGTTAGCCGGGTTCTTACTTGAACCTGAGGTCACTTACGTCAAACCTATCATTTCTAGCTTCAAAACGACTTCCTTAGGATCATCACTAGACTTTCTCAAAGGCTCTAAACACATCCCAAGAGTCGAGAATGGAAGAGCATGGGAAGAAAAACCAAGTGAAACCAACCAGTGCATTTCGGTCGACCGATGGAGAGCTTCGGTCGACCGAAGCACACCCCAAACAAAACCAAAAGTCCAACAGTGAGATCCCGAGAGCAGCAGGACGGTTCGATCGATCGAACCCCATTTTGGTCGACTGAAATAGGAGATCCCGAGAGTGAACATCAGGTTCGGTCGACCGATGAGCCATTTCGGTTGACCGAAATGACTCCTCCGAACCTTGAATCTGAAATTAACATACTGCCTTATGAAAATGAAAGGGAAACTGAAATGGATACTTAACAATGGTTTTGAACTTGTGTTAAACACTCAGAAGATACATCATACTTTAATCATGGACAAAATACCAACCCTTGATCCCATTACAACATCATTCAATTCAATTACAGGGAATTAATACATAGTCCTTGCAAGTGTCTTAATTTACAACATATATGAAATCAAAATGCTTACCAAATTTTATGAGGCCAAAACAATTAGCTCAAGATACATTTCTCAAATTAGAACTTTTATAAAAAAATGGCCAATTACAAAAGTAACAAAATGATCTTCTAGCAACTGTCAAGCCTGTATTGGATTGTCATCCGCCAATTCCTTTCCATGACTTGAAAAATGTTAAGTATAATGGGGTGAGCGAATTGCTCAGTAGATGGCACTTAAGACACGCCTCTTGTGTCCCCGTGAATCCAGCCAAAGAATAGAGCAATGGGAATGGGGATCATACAGTGTCAGGATAATGCCACATAACAATCCATACAGTGTCGATGTCGCTTCCCATTTTCACATTCAAAAACCCTCACTTTCAAACTGTTAATATAACCCGCCCTTTGGTGACCCCGCAGCGACACGAGAGAAGGATTGGCTAGTGTCCCTGACCCTTGGTACCCCCGCAGCGTCATTTTGGGCCCAGCTAACTCAACCACGCTAGGGCAATCTCCCTAGTTCCCTCTAGGCTATATTAACACTCCGGCCCTTTGGTACCCCTGCAGCGACCGGGTTTTCTCAAAAACCAATTCATCAAAACACTTTCCCAAAATTCCCCATTTTCATTTCAAAACAATTTCTCCCATTTCATGCCCAATACCAGTGCTTAGATGCCTCAATGCTATGTCCATGTTCACAATTCCATAACTAGTTCAATTTTAACTAACAAGGCATGGTTCACAATAATTCTCAAAGAATTTACCACATATTTGCATACAACAATAGTTTAGCATCATAGGCATATGAAAATCAACACATAGGCATGTTCTTCACATAGAGCATTTAATACACATAGATCCATGGTTAACATATATGTACACTAATCAACAATTAACTAGATTTTTAAACAATTAAGTCAAGTTAAGCAATAATTTAAGAAATTAACTCACTAAGGTACAAGATCTCATGGATTAAGAGCCATTACCTTAAATTTGTGCAAAACCCTTAAAATAGGTCTCCAATTTTAAAATTTGAAGGGAGCACCAAATCTGAATTTGCTGGTATGGATACGAAGGCCTCGTCGTGGGCTTCAAGTTGCCACAAAAGGCTCCTAAAAACTCCAAGTAATGAGAGAGAGATCTTGACTCAAAGCTTGGTGCAAAAATGCAAAGAAAATGAAGGAGAAAGAGACGAAAAGAGAAAATAACGGGGAAAGAGAAAGTGAATGGTCAAATGTGGTCTCTAGACCACTTAAGTCATAGTGGTGGGTCCCGCTACTATCTTTTTCTTTTCTCTTTTTCTTTTATCTCCATTTTACACCACATACACATATAAATGCACATTTAACATGCAATCAATAAATAAAATAATTATAATGCAAATGGACTTAACCAAAATCTCGTACGCAAAACGTGAAAAAACGAAATTCCCCTCGCATCGACAAAACTCCAAAAAAATGAAAAATGCTGAAGATTGGAAACATCACACTATCTGTCCAATCCCGGACTTGATAACTGGTCTATTATAAAAAATATCATAAAGTACCTTAGGAGAACCAATAATGTCATACTTATATATGGATGTGAGTATGTGGTTCCAGTCGGGTATACTAGTTCTGATTTTAAATCAGATGCAGATATTATAAGGTCCATAATGTATATTCACTAAATGGAAGGGAAATCAGTTAGTAAATTGTTAAGCAGATTTCAACTGCTGACTCAAACCTGAAGATGGAGTACATTGCAGCCTTAAAGGCAACAAAGGAAGCCTTTTGGTTTGATCTCACTAATTTAGAGGTTGTGGAGTATATTAGCCAGCTTATTAAGCTATATTGCGACAATAATGCAGAAGTAGCCCAAACCAATGACCCAAGGTTCCATAGAGGAACAAGGTACACTGAAAGGAAGTATCATGTCCTACATGATATTGTCTGGCAATAAAATATACTCGTGGCTAGAATATTACATTGAAACACAACTTTGTTGATTCATTAACAAAGGTATCTATAACGACCCAAATCCACTGGATCCGGATCATTAAACAGGTCCTTACCCGACCCAAAATCATCCGAGGGTAAAACGGTCTTTTCATGTTAAATTTAATTATCAAGGTCCAAAAAGGACAAAATGGTAATTTGCCACAATTCAATAATTTGAGACTCAAAGGGTAATATAGTCATTTACTCGTATCACGTGATAGATGGAATCACGTTCGGGGCAATATAGTCTTTCTGGTGGTGAAATTATAATTATTGTATTTTGTTGGGTCATAAAATAAATACTTGTACCCTCACTTGGGTGCCAAAGTGAAATTTAAAAACTTAAATAGCAATTACATAAGTGACATAAACCGGTCGACGTATAGGCATCATACCTGGTTTGGGACATGAACAGTAGTAATACCCACTGCCGAGATACCATTCAACGTGTGGGATGTACACGTCGACTGGTTTGGGAAATGTAAGATGAAGAGCTCACTGTTAGGATATGGGAAGCCATACGTCGACTGGTTTGGGATATTAAACTGGTCGACGTATGGGAAACCATACGTCGACTGGTTTGCAACGTGAGCATCAATAACCCACACTATGAAGATACCGGTCGACGTATGGGAAGCCACACGTCGACCGGTTCTGGAAAACTCTCACTTCTTTTTCCACTGTCCAGTGATAACCCAAATACACCAACATTGGTAATTTAACCACCCACGTCACTACACTTACGTATAATTTTATTCACATTTTAACATCAAATAAAAATACAACAACCATAAACATAAATCGTAACACGTTACTTAAAACCCACTAAAGGATTTAGTGTAAATAAAATTTAATTACATTACTCCAAGGGCCATATACAAAATGGATCCAATCATTTTACATGTTGCAAAAATAATACATATTAAATCAACATTTTTACAAAATTAAGCCCAAGTACAAAAGATAGCGAAAAGCGACGTTCTTCTACTCTAGGCTAAGACTGCGGTGCATTGTAGTCTGCCATTCATAACTATATTTGGGAAACTAGTCTTCAACTACGTCACGGTCATGCCCTGAAAAATGATAATAAGTAGAGGAGTGAGCACAAGGCTCAGTGGAGAACGCCTAAGTGGCATCTCCTCAGACGAAGTAAATAATCTAATGCTTTACACACAATGAATAGGAAAAAGGAGTGGGGTCATGCGAGGGATTTCACATATGACACTTAAATTTCCAATCAATCTTCATCACTATCTCATATAATGCAATTTATAGATGTCAATGCAAACCACATCACACCACACCCTCTCTTGTTCACACCTCTCCTCCAAACCATCATGTACCCACATTTCCCTTTTCCCGCGACCACACACCTACACACCTCATCTACACCCTCATCTCTCTCATGCCCATCAATGCCCTCATGCCATGCATATGGAACATTTCAAATTTTCAATCATTTAATCATCAATCTTCATTCATTACACAATAAACAATTTCATGATCACAATAATTAATTTATCAACTTAGCATGCTTTAACATACACCATATCAACCATACTAAGAGTAACACATATAATTCACCACTTAGTCATCTTTTAACATGTCATTAGAAATTCATACACAAAATAAGCATTTAATTCCATCAAACCCATCAATTTTACAAAACTCAAACATGAACCAAACCCTAGAATTTTTCATTCTTCAATTAACATCAAAATTACCATGCCAAAAGAGGGAAAAAAAACATCAAATTAACTACTAAATCTAAGGAAAATCGTCAATTAGACAACTCTACCTCTTTGAAGAGAAATCCCCAAATTCGAGATCCCTAGCTCCTTGCAATAATGGTTTCAAATAAAAGCTCTCCTCAAGCTCATCACTCCCTCACCTATGGCTTCATCAAAATCTTTCCTTAATCTCTCCAAAAACAAGCTTGAAGTGTGGAAGACATTTAGTGCAAATAGATAAATCATTACAAGAAAAAAGGGCTTCTACGAGGGGCCAAAAACGCCGTAGAAACTCATTCACGGCGCATTCTAGGCCCTTGTGTATGATGGTTCCGTAAATATTCAATTTTTTTTACGAGAAAAAATCTATCTCGTAGAAAAATAATAGATTCGCCGTAGAAAATAATTTTGTTTATATATATTAAATTTATTTACAATTAATAATTAACTCACGAGGGACTGACGTATGCCGTAGAAAAGTTTTCTACAGCGAATTGTAAGTACCGTAAATAATCTCACGAGGTACCAACGCCTGCTGTAGAAAAGTTTTCTACAACGAATTGTAAATACTCATAAATAATCTCACGAGGTATCGACGCATGCCGTAAAAAAAATTTCTATAAGGAGTTGTAACTACCGTAAATAGTTTCACGAAGTACAGAAGCACATCGTAGAAAAGTTTTCTAAGGCAAATTTTAACTACCCGTAAATAATCTCACAAGGCGTTGGAGCATGCCGTAGAAAACTTTTCTACGGCGAATTTTAAGTACCCGTAAATAATATAAACCATTCTCACAACTTATCATGCATGCCGTAAAAAAGTTATTTAAGGAGGATTTTCACTTATTTACGGTATTTCAAGCTCCCCGTAAAAAATATATATATATTTTTTTATATAAATAAAGCACCCTTACAGAATTCACATCATTTTCAGCTATAATTCAATTCAAAAAACATACATATCCCATTAAATATATCAAAAGAGTTAAAACATTTTTACAATTCATCATTTATCAATGTGCCAAAACAATTTAACATTTATCAATGTTTCAAAACAAGAAGTAAATCCATTTATCAAGAAAATCATCAATTTCTTAACACTTCTGTTGAAAAATTGATAAACCTTCTAACACTAGAGTTCCCGTCTGCACTTGTCAAAAAATCACCTCACTGTACAAAATCCAAGGAAGTAGCTACAAAATCCACAGTACAAAATCCAAGAAAGTAGCTGCATCACCCAAGTCTCAAATTCAGAATGCTAATAAAAAAAGAAACTAACTTATCATTTATGAATCAAACACAAACATTTTGCTAAGAATTTCTTCTATCATGAATGGTGACTAAAATCTTTTGATTGGTGAGTTATGAATGTTTCTGCCTCATGACTCGAGATATATATATATATATATATATATATGAATGTGTGTGAATATATATTTTTTAAGTTAAATAAAAATAAATTTGCTAGCGTCAGACCTGTTGGAAATTGAAATCTTATTGAGCAACATTATGAGTTATTTTTTAAATCAATTCTATCATGTGTTGTTTGGAGATATAAAAAACCAACAATATTTGAGTCGTCTAATAAGTCTAATATGAGAAGCGATTGTGTAACAAATTTCAAATAAGTATTCATACACATTTACAAATATCTATTGTGGAGCTCAGACTTCTAATCTCACATTCCAAAGAAATATTTATATCAAAATATTTTTGACATGTTTTTTTAATGATGTTTCGGGTAACACAAATCAACACAAACTCAATCTAGCTTGCTTAAATTTTTTTTTTTTGTTGTTTTGGATTGTAAAGCAAACACACAATATATTTTTTGACCTAATTGGTTAAGTAACTATTACTGAATTGAATAAAACGTGAAAACCATTGAATTTTTGGTTTCATGTGATCAAAAAGTTTTTCTAATTAAGCAAGATGGGATAGGTGGTCTGTGGAGCCCTTAGTCTGGTCCAAAAAGGGCAAACCTTTATGAACAAACATCTTTTGTGGCCAATGTCTTTCATGTATTTATTAATATGGTGTTTAATTAATTGCATAGACTTATACTCTTCAATTTTCTACCAAAAAAAAAAAAGCATTTAATTAAGCTTTTATAAATTGTTCTGTACTGAGTTAAATTTTCTTATACGATCCCTAATAAGGGCGGCAAGTCATGTAATGCACATGACATGAGTGCTCACTTCGATTATCTAAATTATAGTAATGTTATGCCGACTTATAAGTTTGATTAATTGTTTGGGTCTAAGTCAATGGAAATGACCAAAATGGATGATAAATTTGTTCAAGTACAATCATTGTCGTTGTGATGATTAATGTGTGAGTTGTGTGACTAGTCTACCATTTGAAATTTTAAGTGTCACAGATTTTGCTACCCTTCAACTACCATGAGAAGTGGACAAGTAATTAATTAGGTTTGGTCATGTACTCGTGACACCAAATTTTCAACAGTCCAAGTTAGATACTAGGGCTTATCTTGACTACATTCTCCTAATTTCCTCCATCTTTACTATTCTTGGGCAAGTTGCCGTGTAGGAAACACCAAGAAAATTTCAATACAAGTTTGGTATATTTTTCTCTCTCCAATCAAAATCTCTGTAATTTATTGTCAATTGATGTGAAACGTATCTCTTTATCTTCTTTAACAAGTGTCAAACTCAAACCCAAACCCAAACGCCACTCAAATTTACTTGTTATTGGTTTTAACACTCGTTCCCTGAAAAGGAAAATAATAATAATAAAATACATTTAAAGGGAATTATGAAGATTTTAAATACAGTACAAAATCAAAACACAAATCCAAAAAAATATATAATTTTTTCTTTTAAAAGTTTAAGCAAACTCATACGCACATACACTTTAACATCTCAAATCGTTCATACCATCCCTAAACATTGCCTTATACTTTCGTGGATCATACAGAAGCTAAATGCCCAAAAAAAGTTTTGCAGACCAAACCGAAGAAAACTTTGGATAGGTGGGTGGTTAAACAAAAAGGCAAGACAGTTGAGGGTGAGATTGTGGACAAGATAACTGATAATATTCCTGTGAGAGGCATGCAAACAGTGAAGTCTGTTGTTACTAAGAATTCTTTTGCTGTTCTTGAAATTAATGAAGAGGTAACTGAGGAAATTGTTTCTACTCCTGTTGTGGATGTCGTACAGCAGCAAAATTGTGTCGCTTTGGCTATAATAGATTCCCCAAATATTTCAAATTCTCAGAACACTATACCTAAGGTTGGAATTGTGGATATTCAGCAGCAGGATGATGAAGATGGTGTTGAGCTGGAGAATGAAGAGAAAGGTGAATTGAAACCACAAAAATCTACTAGTGAAGAGATTATAAGATCTTCTGATAAGGAGGAAGATAATTTAGATGGGCTGGAAGATATAAGGGACGATGTCTCTATTGATAAGGGAATTGCAAATGAAGAGCAATGTTATAAAATTAGTTAGCAGTGGGGCTATTAACATTGATTCTCAAGGAGGGGGTAAATCAAGACCAAGAAAGAAGCCTTATATCCCACATTCAGACAGTTTTTCAAAAATTTTGGGGAGTGGTTGGGGCTGATGTGATTAAGGCAGTGTTGTTTTTCTTTTCTACTAGTCAGCTTCCTCAAGGTATCAATTCCACCTTTCTCTCTTTGATTCCAAAACTGAACCATGGAGATAAAATTACCAATTATAGGCCAATAGCTCTATGTAATCTTGTTTACAAAATTATTTCTATGATTCTAGCCAATAGGTTAAGTGATGTTCTACCTAATCTGATTGGTAATGAACAAACTGCAATTATCAAAAATAGAAGGCTTCATGATAATATATTGTTAGTTTCTGATTTGGTAAAGGATTTTGGTAAGAAAAATGGTCCTACTAATATGACTTTGAAGATCGATCTAAAGAAGGCCTATGATTCAGTGGACTGGGGTTTCATCTTATCAAGGTTACAACTACATGGTTTCAGTGGGAAATTGATTCATTTGAGGCATTACATGTTAAAAAAGGTGAAACAATTGTTCATGACTACAAAATATGATAGAAATAATGTTCACAGATTTGAGGCCCATAACATACTGTTCACTAAGAGCACGGAGCATTGTCATCCTATATTTCTGTCCACTAATTGATTATCTGCCTTATTAAATATTGACCACATATTAGATTCAAACAAAATTATATTTCCTTCCTTTTTCATAGAAGACAAGAAGCTTAACTAACTTTTTTTAGGTGGCATCTAGAGTAGTCAATCTACACACACAGAGAGTTTCTAGTCCATGAGAAACATACTTTGTTTGAGCCTTTAAGCTTTTTTCCGCTTAAGCCTCTCTCTTTTAGCGGAAATCCACCGGTATAATTTCTAAAACCCCAGAAACTTCATTTCATAGATCATTATTTATCATTAAAAGGAATGGATCACTTAAACCTACGGGCAACTAAATGATGAGGCTAGCTAGATTTGGGAATTCTATCCAAAACCATGTCAATCATTAAATTCCACTAAAATTTGCTCTAATCTTGAGCACTTAAAACTTCTAAACTCTCATTCCAGTCCCAACTCCTGCAATCTTCATCCACTATAAAACAATATAATAAATAAAATGAAGAAAGCCCATTCATCCACTATTGATCTTTTGGCACTTTATAAATTGTAACTGATAAGGGGAAGATGATAGAAACTAGTGTTTGCTAACTTAATGAAAGTGCAATATGTTAAATCCTGTTCTAGATCATCCCCAGCAATAAAACTCATCTATTTTAACATCAATAAAAAATAATAATATTAAAATCAAATAACAAATTCTTTATAGATTCTTACTCTCTAAAGATCTCTAAATATTAAAGGGAAAAAACTGATCATAAGTGCATAAGAACAAGCATTACCTGATATGTTACTCCAATCCTCTCAACGAAGTTATATGCCTCTTAATGAAGTATCACACTTTGCTTCGAATCAGAGACAGAGGATTATGGCTCTTTTATGGAGAATTTGTTTTAGAAATTCGTGTCTGCCTGCTTCAACAGCTTTAATAAGTCTACTTCAAATTAAATCTCATAGACCGTACAAAAAAAAATATTCTGAAAATAACATCTATAACCCACACATATGCAATTTTATACACACGTATACGCGCACGCCCAGGAAAAAAAATATTTTGAAAATGATGCAAAATACCCAAATTCAGCCACACATCTACCACATAACATCTCATACACCAACACCATACCATCAAAAGAAAAGAGAAAATAAATAAAATAAATAAAAAATAAAAAATAAAATAAAAATAATTCACCGAATCAACAGAAACGGAGCACTTTCCTGAACCGATGAAACGAGCCTGAAACATAGTTGGGGTATCCTTTCACACAACCGGAAAGCAATTGGCTAGAGTACACATCTCACTTTCTCTCTCTTGATTGTTCAAAAGCTTTGACGCCGACGCCTGAATCACGACCATTTGAATGTGTGCAGTTTAAGGATGTCACAGGAAATGCTTAGGTATTAGAGAGAAGGGGTTAGGGCTGGAAAAAGTGATAAAGCACCACCGTGTTTTGGTATCATTGTACTTCTTACTAAACTTGCTAAATTCATAATACAGATTTCTAGAATCTAGATTTGTAAAAAATGATATTGCAAACCAAAATAATTATGAGAACCTTAAAACTGCTTTTTGAACTAGCTGCATTTTGTAATTATTTAATTTAATATCCATTATGGAATTTCTAATGTAACGGATAATCTTCGGTAGTTCCAATCAAATATCTCAAGCATAATCAATCAGACTAAAAATAAATCAAGAATAGAGCCAAGCATGCTAACACTAAAACAACAACCACCCAAGCATAACCAAACACAACCCAAAGAATCACATGCATAATTTTCTCAAGACAGCTGCTACCACTAAACAAAAATATTATCCTTCCAACATCATAAAAAATTTACATTCTAGCAAGTATTAATTCCCTCTAGGCAGTAGAGAATTAATTTAACTTACTAAGTAGGACGATGAGGCTCCCGGACAATGAGCCTCCCAGAGCTTGCTGCAGCAGTAAATTAAATTTAGGTTTCAAGGGTTAGGATACTGACCAAACTATTGAGCGTATATATTTATATTTGGGGTAAGTCTATTGTAAATAAAAAATTTCTTCCTAGGAGCCTCTTCTATTGTATGGGAAAACTTTCATTACGAGTGGGTGAACATAAACACCATCAAGGTGAAGTCAGATTTGGAGAAAAAAAAAATTCAAACTAAGAGTCTTGAACCTAAGACCTCCTAATTCTATGATTTTTCTTCTTGAGATAATTAATTCAGTGCCAGCTCAAGAGGCAATAAACAAGCTTGAATTATTAAACTCACAATTCTGAATTGCTTCCAAATTACCCAATTAAGTTAAGAACCTACTTATAGTTATTGAAACAGCCAATCCACTTGTTTGGGCTTTCAGATATACCTCTTGCAATTCATCAGTATTACATCCCAACAATTTCTCTTATTTTTACTGAAGTACAAGAAGTAATTCTTTTCTTGTACCCATGAAAAAGTAAAGAACAAGTAGAGATAGTTTCTAACACAATGATATTTTGATCAAACATGAAAAGGAAAATGCTAATTTATAAGAGTAAAAACCTTCTATTTAATTAGTAGTGGTGCATCAATGGGTTAATTTTGTATTTGAAGATTTGAAAATTACAAATTAAGGTGTTACAACTAGATAGCTAAATATTGACATGTCATCTTAGAAAAAAAAAAAAAGTAAAGATAAAATTGGATAAGACCCATTAAATATATAAAACCCCAAAGGCCACTTTGTACTCAGTGCTCACTGATGACCTCACGACACATATACAAGCCAAGGACTCAGTCACCACATCCCTTTTGGTTTACTATTTCCTTGTCATTTTCTCATACCCATATTGCTTAGCTTAGGTGTTAATAGAACTAGCCTAACTTATAAAACTTAATTTTTTTATTTTTCTTTTCCAGAGAGGAAGTAGACACTTTAATTTCACTTAAATTTGCGTCACAATTTTCATTTGGGCTCAATTAAAATGCAAGACAGATCAAGCTTACTTCCCTTTTTAATTTTTAGATACAATATTTTTAAAGAATGTGGACCTTTCCAACGGGATTAGGTTCCAACCACAGCTTAGCTAATCAATACACAGGGTAATCTCACACCAACAGGCATAAAAATAAGAAATATTAGATTTTGGTAAACAACAATCAACTTATGACTTGCATTGCTTGCAAAAAAATCATAATAATAATAAAATAAAATAAAATCAAACAGGATAAAATTTAAAAAGAAGAAAAAAAGAAAAGAGAAGAAGAAACAAAAATAAGGTAAAATAAGAGTACAAAAAATTATTAGAGTCTGGAAGTTAAGCAGTCTGATACACAAGTAAAATATCTAAAATACTCAACGAAGTTTTAAAAATTTAAAGATTCTCATCTAATTAAGATCAGCAACAAAAAGATAATGAAAAATCGGCAGATAACAACAAAAAAGAGAGTTAATAAAAATCAAAGGACACAGCAATTGTAAGCAAAAACTAAAGTACTAGAAAGTAAAATCAGATCTGGACATACCGGGAGCAGCAGAACTAATACTCACTGCCAAAAAAAAAAAAAAATCTCTTAATAGCAAGCATCTAGAAAACATGTATGATTCATACATAAAGCCCTAAAGAAGTTGTCTGATTTTTCTTACTTACAAAATCGATTGTGAGCTGTAGATGATGACGGTAGTGAGCTCAAACGTCTGCCCGTTAAAGTGATTGTGAGTGAAGCTAGCTAGGTTGAGCCAGAGATTCGGTATTGAATCCTCTTCGATCGTTAGTCCATGATTTTAGAGATTGAGAGGCGATACATATTGAGAATTGTCGATTCGATTGTGGAAGTAGTCATTGAGAGGAAACGAGGATTTGTTTTCTGTCAAGATGAAGAGATGGAGAGAGAATAATGTTGGGTTCTATCGGTCAAGATAGAAAAAAAGGGGCAGAAATACCAATTCCCAAAAGGAGATGACGTGTCTCTTTCCAATAAACTCAGCGCGCGCGAGGACTCAAGCGGCGCGAAATTTTTTTTTTTTTTAGCTTTTTGGAACAAAATATGTAGTTGTTATCAAAATATATATATAATAATAATAATAATAATTTTTTTAAAATAAATAAATTTGTTTTTTAATTTAGGCTCTATTTGGTAACCGTTTTTATTATTGTTCATCATTTAAGCTTAAACATCACGAGTGTTCATGTTTAACTTTTGTTTATAGATAAACACAAACATAATTTGATAACTAACAATGCTTGTCTTATTTTAAAAATAAATAATAAAAATATTTATGAAGTGTCTAATTATCATCTAACAAGGTTGTTCATAACCTTAGCAAATGGGGTGCTCATAAAAAATTACTATTGATCTTAGGTGGAATATAGTCATCTTGGTTATCTAAAGTCACAGTGAATGATGATCGTTTTGCTTCTTAACTATTTGTTTTCTTCATATATATATATATATATATATATATATATATATATATATATATATATATCATAAACATATATACATAATCATAAACATCGTTTTGACATTTATAATATTTTTAATTATTATTACTATTATATTCATTACTATTTTATAGAGGATATTACTTATAAATTAAAACTTATAATTTAAGATATTATTATAATTTAAAACTTCTATTATGGTATTGTAATTTAAAACTTATAAGTTAAGATAATATTATAATTTTAAAACTTTTACTATCGTTTCGTAATTTAAAACTTATAATTTAAGATAATATTGTAATTTAAAACTTCTATAATAGTTCTACTTATCTTTTATGGTCTTTTCTGCCCATATTTGGATAGATAAAAATTTGTAAAAGAGAAAGGATGACTCATCCATCCTATTATCCTCTCTCTATGTCTTCTTTTTACCGAATAAAGAAAGTTTATTTTTCTTTTCCATATACCCTCCACAACCCTTTTTTTCCTACTGAACAAAACATAAGTAATGTATTTATTATGATACCCCTAAATTTTCACGTGTAGGTTAGTCAAGCCCACACCCAAAAGTACGAGGATTTCAAAAATAATATGGCAATAAATGAACACGAAATACAAGAAGAATAAACAATTTGTTGAAAGAAATTCTATTGATAAAATAAATCATTCATTACAATTAAAATACAACTCGGGAATCCTGTAAGTAAGGGACGCCTAAACTATAAACTACTAATCATTAAGTTCTTAAGTAAATAAACTAACAATAAACAACAGATACTGCTCCTACTTTGTAGTAGACATGAAAAGTAGTTGAAAGACAAGTCTCCAAGTTGCGAATCCTCAACCTCCAGAGTAGAACCTCTAATAATTTGAAAAATATAGTGTGGGTTAAATCCTCATCCATGTACTATTCTAACTATATTAATATACGTAAATCATGTAAATATAAATATATAAATATTATCTAATATATATTTATAAATCATTTTTAACTGATACATTCACATATATAGACAATACTTATTAAGTCCTCACTAGTGAGGATCTACAATATACTCACCGTTCATATGGACCAATAATAAATTGACATGTGATCTTTAATTACCAAAGCAAAGATAGTGGGTAAATATTTACTTACCAAATCATAGATAGTAATTTAATTACCATCTATGATTTGATAATTAAAATAGAACATGTCCAATTATTATTGGTCCACATGTGAGTATGTTATACATCATCACTAGTAAGGACTTAAGTATTGTCCATAAACATATGTAATAATTAGTTCATATAATGCTACTATATGTATTACTTCCATATAATTAATAACTCACAACTTTAATCCTTATATGACTCAGACTTTATTAGTCATATATATAAATATATTTATGTAAATTCAATATCTCTGAGCCATGCGTTATCATTTAGGGCGTGCCGCTTGCTTCGATCGATGGCCAACTGAAAGAGGCTCACGGAGAGAAACGTTAGGTTTGATTGAAAGAGGGAAAAGAAATTTCACTGGTGGCCTCTCCCCTCTTCTTCGTCGCTGCTCCCCTCTGATTTGTCTCTCCCCTCTTCTTCTGTATTTGAGGTTTTTTGCTGCCCTATAATGCGAAATGTGAATTAGGTTATTTATTTATTTATATATATTTTTTTAAGTGTAATTTTAATTGTGTCTAATTTGGAGGGAGGGTAAAAAATTTGGTGGAAAGTCTTTTTAATTATTCATGAGATAAAAAATATCCCTTAAATGTTATTAAATATCCACGAGGATTTTAAAAGACCGTTAAAAATAAATAAATAAATAAATAAATAAATAAATAAAGTTCAATTTTAATTGTGTGGGAAGTCTTTTGACTTATTCACGGGACAAAAAAATATCCCTTAAATGTTATTAAATATCCACGAGGATTTTAAAAGGCCGTTAAAAATAAATAAATAAATAAATAAAAATAAAGTGCAATTTTAATTGTGTTCAATTTGGAGGGAGGTTACTTATTCACGGGACAAAAAAATATTCCTTAAATGTTATTAAATATCCACGAGGATTTTAAAATGCCGTTAAAAAAATAATAATAAATAAAATAAAATAAAGTGCAATTTTAATAGTGCCCAAAAATTTGGCAGGAGGATAAAAAATTTGGAGGGAAGTCTTTTTACTTATTCACGGGACAAAAAATATCCCTTAAATATATTTAAATATCCACGAGGACTTTAAAACGCCGTAAAAAAAATTTTAGTGTAATTTTTATTGTGCCCAATTTAGCGGGATGGTTAAAAAAAGGGGGGAAAACTCTTTTTACTTATTCATGGGACAAAAAATGCCCCTTAAATGTCAAATTTTAACACAAGGATTATTTCTCCCATTAAAGTTGAACAAGAATGCCCTTAATATATTTAAATATCCACGAGGACTTTAAAATGCCGTAAAAAAAATTTTCAACGAGGATCTTGCTAAATCCCCATGAAAACATGCCCCCTTTATGTAACAATTACGAGGATCCTCTCATAATCCCCGTCAAAAATAGTTTCCATGAGGCAAAATAAAGGAACCCCGTAAATAAGATGTCGTAAAAACCCATTTTTCTTGTAGTGAATATAGAGTGAGAAGGTGAAATGCTAGAGAGGGGAAACATTCTGCCGAAAATGAAGGGGAAAAGAAAGAAAATGGGTTAGTCAATAATTTGCCTTGTGGTCAATAGCATGCCATTTGTAAAAATGTGTGTATTTGTCACTTTTTGGTTAGTTACTCTTTTACCCTTCTACATCCATTTCAATACTAACAAAATCTCCAAAATATCTCCCACCAAAAATAGATACACCTATATATATATACATGTGAAATGACTACAATACCCCTCACTTAAAATGAGAAAACCGGGAGAAATTCACGAGTCCGGAAATTGTCCCGACCTCCAAAAAATTCTAAAAATGATACTGTCATCCTAACTGACTTGAAATGATTAAAATAATCTAGAGAATCAATTAAATTCCCGAAATTAGAAAAACGAAAAAATCGGTAAAGTCATAGTATCATCGATCAATAATTTTGATCGTTACCTGGATAACATTGGAGTTAGATGCAATTAGAATTAGCTATGAGTGTAAGTGGAAGCTGTTGGGATTTATATGCCCTGGCATAGCAAATTCTTATTTGGATTAAAGTGACATATATTCCTAACATATCTAAAATATTTATACTTTATACATTTGGTGAATTCAATGTATTATGTTTCGATTCATTATGGAATTGATAGTGTCCACTTGATTACAAGAGATATTTATATATGTATGTGATTGCGATCAATACATGATCATAAATAGTAATCATAAATAGTTCATAGTCGGTAATTATGGATGGACTCATTATTAACTAAGACTTGAACTGAATCTGCGTTAAGTTGAGATATATTGGAAGAGCCGTCGTATGCAATTGCTCCCTATCACTGTCATGGCATTTGACTCTTAAGCATGAGAAAAGTATAGACTCTTTTATTAATTAGTAATTACTTTGATTTGTTCAGCGGATTCTTTGGAATCCTTAGACCGACACTTTGGATAATTATGTAATTAATAGTTAGAGGGTTATATTTTTAATATTTGCATCATTACTCCTTGTATTTATTTTGTATTGATTATGATTGATCACAAATTAAATTGGAAGGCCTTCGTATGTTTTTAGACAAAATGATTTATTATATATTTATTTATTTAAATTATTATTTTCGTAAAACAAATGTTTTATTGTGATCGAGTCTAAAATAATCAAAGGTAACAAAATAAATATATTAATTAAGTAGTCGGATTGATAACTTTATTTATCCGATAACTAATTATGCATAGAGGGGTCAAAATGCAACATTAACTTAGAAGTTATTTATTATTTAATTGGAGGTCAAATAATTTCTTTTAGTGTAGTAGAAATTAATTTATGAATTAATTTAATTGGGTCCATGGACCGAGCCAATTATTAATTCATTGTTGCCAAGAAAATAATAAGCCCAAAGGATTCTCACTAATAGCCTAACTTGATATTGGAGACCTATTAGATTTGAGATATCAAGTTAGTTTTAGAGATTGAGAAAAATATAATGTCTTTAATTATTATTTTTATGTTGCCTATATATACATGGAGTCCATGTATATTTGAGGTTACGCTTTATGTAATAATTTTAGAAGACAAGAAAAATATTTTCTCTCTGTTCTCATCTAATGGAGGCTCCCACAAACTAAACTTCCCAAGGTCATTCATGGAGATTTATGAGTGGTTCTCAAAGGCAAGACTATTACCAAGAAGATGGAGATCGAAGGAGAGGCATCTAGCAAAGGGATCTACAATAAGTGAGAACATTCACTTTAGAAGAGAGATTTAAGTTTACCCAAATCTTGATGTAACTTCTTCGTGCATAAAACTTATCTCTATACATGAATCAAGATCTTTATTTGAAAAACGCTCATAAAATTTTTTTAAAAAAACTTCCCACTCCTGAACACCTCTAACTCCCATACTAACACCTATACACTCCGCAATAAGGAAAATCTTTCAATCCCATATCTCCTCTAGCATTTTCCTGTAAAGCTTTCCATGCTGAAGTATATACTCGCATATTTTTTTAAAATGATACTGATGAAGATAAACCTTTCAGGATTAAATGGAAATGGTGGGCGAGAACAGCAGCATCTCCAGCATGTTGCATCTTCA